ATGATAAATAAACAGAATGAAAAATAAACTTCTCATCAGTATATGCCTACCATTATAGAGTGCCAGTAACATCTTTTTCTTAATTTAACAATAAATACAGAAAATATTTGTATTTCAGTCATTTAATATCCATGGTATCAATCAAATATACATGTCACATGCCACAATAACTCCTGAGCTGTACACAGTGCATCATTAAATCTGTTACTTCCGGGGACAGTATACATCTGTTCCTGCCAGGGACAATATGCCACACATTTTCTTACAGTATACTGCAGATTTCAAATATCACTGGGTACAAAAATACATAATAGGATACATACATGATATAAATCTATACTGTTATTATTCACGAAAATACAAGATCTACTGCGTCCACTGTTTTCAGAGTTTTCCCATTGACTACAAGGATTGCACTAGTGTCCTTTGGTGGTACTCTGATGAAGACTCTGGCCTCCTTGTTCTCTGACTTAGCCTTGTCAATCTCAGTGTCTCTGTCTGCCATCAGTTTGGCTCTTGCTTGCTGGAGTGGACGTGGCAAGTGTTCGTGTACCGCATACCCCTTCTTCTTGTCTGCGTGTAGCTTCTTCCATGTGGCGAGGATCAGTTCCCTGTGTTGTAGACTCACCAGTCGCACCAGCATGGCAGAATTGGGTTGACTCTCTGTAGGACGAGACAGCCGGTGTACTGCCACCAAGAGAGGAACTACGCTGATACCAAGATGGCGTGACAGGAAACTGAGGACAACTTGATCCGGGGACTCTTCTTTGTGATACGCTAGGCCGCGGATTATAATATCTGACTTCATAGAGTATCTCTCCGAAATCAGTATAGCCCTGATCCGCTCACGTTTTTCACGTTGCAAAGCTTGCTGCAGCTCCTCAATCTCTTTACTCTGGTAGCTGACAGACTCACGCAATCCATTCACCTCAGCACCCAAGTTTTCCAGCTTAGAATTCACGGCCCGTATCTGCTCAGACAACTCCACTCGGACAGACTTAAACTCAGCCATCACTTCCGCATGTAGTGACTTACTTTCAGTTGCTAGCAGCTGCACCAGGGGTCGTAACTCAGGCGCGATACTGTCAAGATTCAGGTCCGCACCACCCGCCATCTTCAGAGGTGTGGGAGGGGGGCACTTCTCCTGCACTTCGAGCTGCGTACGTGGACTTGTTTGCTCAGCGCTGCTCTTCCTCGCTCGTTTTGTTGCTCGCTTCCGCATCCAGACAGGTAACGGGTGACACAGCAGTTCGTAGATAGCGGAATAATAGTGTTTCGGAGCGAAAAGACGGCGGAATATGCCAAAACGTTTGAGCCTCACAACAACACGTCTCTACCCACGCGCCGCCATTTTGAATCCCTCCGCTGTTCACTGTTATGGGGCACCGTACGACGTCCACATGCGACCTTAAAACTCGGGTCAAGAGATTTTATTACAGAGCAGATGGATGTTCATCTAGCACATGTCTGAGTCATGATAATACAAAATATACAGAGTGCTTTCTTCAGTGGCATGGACCAATGGTTTCCTAAAAGGTGGATATACATTTATGAAAGAACTCACTGGAGATGGAGAGGTCAGCTGTCCACAGCTTTTCCTCTTCCCGTACTGCCTTGCCATACCAGTTAATGTAAGGTACTGCGTGCTTGTCAACTAAAATGAAGTGCTGATGTCGGCCGAAATAGACACAGTCATGAAACAAAAATCCAATACAAAACCATCTTTTAAAAACCATTCCCCTAGGGTAACGATGTGGTCTCAAACCAAGTAGGATGTGATCAATTTCCTGCAGGTGGTGCCCGCAGTAGTACCCTTCCTTTCTGTCCGACTTGAACCACAGGCTCATGAGACCCTTTGTTATACGCAGGAGGATACCGTGCATGTAGTCGACGGTCATACCACTGATGAGGTTGACCTTTGGTGCCAAGAATAACCAGGGTGGGTCTTTGATTCCAGACACCTAGTTGGACACATTGTTCAGTCTGGTCTACCATCAGTGACATGGTTGGTGTGATAACAATGCTAAAAACCTAAATAACACCCTTCGGTTAAATTTGGGAATTCCAGTTTAATTTGGAACTGCTCACTTGTTAGTCTTGCCAGTTCTTTTGCCCGTTCGATGCTGGATTTTACTTCGTCCAACCGTTTGATGGCTGGACAAACGACAGTGGTTTTGTTGGTGTTGACAGGAGGAGGGCTGCTGTTGTACCCACAGTGTCCTAACAGTTTTTATCAGAACTGTAGTCCTTGTACTGGATTGTTGGATGTTTTGCACCTGACTGCATAGTGAACCTAAAGCAGTGGGGGACAGAGTGGCCAGAGATGTTTCCAGTTCATCAGACAGCCACTCTTTGTAGTCAGCCACATGCTTGATATGAAAGGCCTCGGGTGATGGAGTATATGATTTTTCAATTGTATGGATCAGCTCCAGTAGAGTGGTTGCCTCAGATCTTTTTAGAGTGGTAGAAATCCTGCTGAAAAACTGATCTACATCTTCGTGAGTATGTCCAACAACCAAGAAACTGAGCTTCACCTGAAAAAAATAAATAGAAATAAGATCAACAATAAGGAAATGATGGGAATTTCAAACTTAAGCTGAGTGGAAATAAACATTATTTTTTTATTATTATCATTATACTAGTTTATTTGGATAAAGTAGAGGATTATCTAAAAGCAAATGCAGACATAATTTTCCTAATCAATGAGAAACGTGAAATTACAAAATACATCACTCAAAAAGGTTAACATCATTTTACATTGCCTAGGAGACTCAGTCAAGGTTGAATAAAAACTCCTGCTACCCATGAGCCCTTGTGAGCCTTTGGATTATACAATTATTGAAATGGGGGAGATTTAAATATGGGTACACAACTATTGTTTATATCAAGTATTGTATTAACCTCCTTGTTTACATATTTATATATTTATATGCCCAGTCTGGCCATCACGCGCACATCTCCCCACCTATTGCCAGTAAGACAGGATCTCTTTTAATGGTCCCCAGTGAATCATATATATATATAAATTTAAATATTATGCTATGTAACAATTCTTACAGCCTTGTTACATCTTAGCATAATGATTGTGTACCTGTTTGGTAGCACAGTCACTCTCCACATTTGAAAGATGTAGATTAGTCATGATGTCATCCACCATTGCCTCTGTTGCTGTAGCGGTCAGCATCAGGACAGGACAGCTCAGTACACTCCTGATGCTGGGTACCTTGAGGTAGTCTTCACGGAATGATGTACCCCTGTAAATTAAACATTATACAAGCTTTAGCTTAAGCTCCATTTCAACTTATATTTCAGCCTCTGATTATAGCCTCTGATAGGACTGCCACTGAATGTAGAAAACATATAGTCTGAAGTTTCATTATTAATGTACAAAACTTCCATTGGGATTAACAGGTGAATGAAGATGTGTAATTTTCCACATTGCTTTGTTCAAGGAAATCAATACTAATATAGTAACCATCTCTTCCCTTCCAACAGCACCATTGACCGAGCTTCCCCCCCTTTTCATCATGAAACTGTTTCTCCACAAAACTAAAGTCGTCACAAGTTATTAACTTTGTCCTGTTGCTACCCTGCAAATACACTAAAAAGTTATTTCAAGAAATTTCTCCTTTCTGCTCCTTTTACAGGTGCAGTTTCATACATTACACAATTTAAACTTATTCTTTCCTTTATAAATGTCACAAGATATTAACTCTTCCATTCTGGTCTTTAACAGTGTTATTATGGCAGTCCAAATAGCATCCCCCCCCCCACTGTTTGGTCCAAGCCTGTTGATCTTTGCTACTATCGACATGACAATCTTGTAAACAAATTATATCCACTTTCAGTTCTTTCAAGTACCTGTAAATTCCTCTTCTTATGGTTTCATCTTTCATTCCATTAAGATTCAAGGTAATGATTTGCAAAACCATAATAACACTGAGAAGGCAGAAAGGGATGTATCGAACCGGTTCCATTTTGTTTAATCTAAGGGACCCTGAAAAAAGAGGGTTAGATAAAACCAATTTAGATAAACCAATTTTAAAGAAAGGAAATTCAAGCTTTTCAGACATGTATAGTAAATTAAATGTAAGTTATGCATATCAACACTCTATTTCATGGAGGTATGAGATCTAGGAACTTTCTGTCGGCGGTCATGTTCCCCCGGCGGCGCACCAGCTCAGGTGGGGTGTTCCCGCCGGCATGTCGCTGTTGCTGGTGGAGGGTGTAGAGTTCGACATGAAAGGTAAACAGGTCTATTCAGGGACCAAAAATAAATTTGTGTCTCATACTTATCTGCCAGAGTTTTGAACCTCTCCGTCTTTGGCGTCTTGCTGCAACATATGATCCCATGGCAGCAGTTCTCTTCCGAAACTGAGAGCGATTCCATCGCATATGTCAAGTTTGGGCTCCGGACCACACTCTGGACACTGAAATCCACTGTCGTAGTTGATGTCCAAGAGGTTCAGAAAACTGTACCAAGCCAGGCGGAACTTGTTGTATGTCAGCCGGGTGTGGAAGTCGATAAATACCGCATGTCTCATGTGCTTGTAGAATGTTTGGTGGTAGTCAAACAGCGTCATTCTGACAGCAGGTCTATCATTACAAAAGAGGAATTCCCTGCTTGACTGGAGCCGCTGCTGTTTGAGCCTGGGTGTGAAAATGTACACCAAAGAGGTTTAACATCCTTTTAAGACGAACAAAATAGCGTGCTCCACTTGTTCATACCATTTTGCACAAGTCAAACGGGGCAGTAGGCTCAATACATGTCGCAATCTGTATCCAAAAAGAAAACTCTGTTGTTTCTCTGCGGTGCTTACTGAAGTAGACAAATTTGTTTGTCTCTTCCCTCTTTTTTCAAGCAAGAAAGTCATTCATAGATGTGAAATGATGAGTAGAACTAGCATGTTTTACAATATGTGACTCTTCGAGATGCCGCAGCATTGTTGTTATGTGATGTAAGACATGATCACATGTTGGGTGGAGACATATCGCGTTCTTTACTCTGACCGCTGCATCATCCTGTTGTTGCTTATGGACTCAACTTGGGTAATCGCCTTCCTCATGTGCAACATTGGGTGTATTTCCGGGCTCTCTGGCGTGTACTCCTCCATCGACTTGTTCAGCTTCTCGTAAAGGTCTTTGTTCCTCACGCCCCTCGCCACCTGCTTCTGGCGGAGTTTACCCGAGATGCTGGTAGGGCCGGTAGCTGTTGCTCCACGGCTAACGTTGGCGATTTGTATCACCTCACCTGCCGACAGGGTCGTTGGCTCTCCATCACTGATTTCTGATTGCTTGAGTTGAAACTGATCCCTGGCATGTTCTTCCCTGTATGCCACTCAGTGAACAACCAGGACACTTGCAGTGTTGCCATGGGCAGTCCTTCCTGTGTCCCTTCAGTTTCACACTAACTCCATGAACCTTGCAGCGCTTGTAAGTATACCCAAGTGTTTTCAGTATGATCTGCTTGGAGATTAGATATCAGCGTATTGACGCAGGTAACTGACTCTTGAACACTCAAGTCTTTCCTTTGTAGAGACTTCCTCTGCCGCAGAAAAGAGGTGGTGGCTTAGGCGCAGCGCGAACAGAGTAAAAGGACGCCGCCTGCTTTCAAGCCGTACTCGTCCCGTGTAGTCTCGTTGACCTCCTGCATTGTGTCCATGATGGTGCTGTAGTTGTCGAGAATGCTCTGCAGTGCTGCTGTCCCTGCAGTCCAGCGTGTAGGACACAGAGGCTTGACCCTACCACTTGATTTGTCGTTTCCAGCAGCCAGTTGATTGAACAGGGTCTTCCGCTTTGGTGAGTAAAGTTCATTGGCCGATCAATTTGTCTTGCATCTCGAGTGGCCACTAATCTGTCTGCAGGTGTCATGTTATCAGCACCATTATAAGCCTGTCACCGGCACAGCTGTAGAGGAATGCCTGTCCGCGGCACAGCTGTAGAGGAATGCCTGTCCGGAGGAGGTTGTCTTTGATCGCTGTGGGTGATAGCTTGTATAGTCCAAGACTGCCTCGGGGAACTCAGTATTACCCGATCATACTTAAAGTGCTCCTTTCAAAAGATTTTTTTCCACTTTTGTCAAAGCGCCTGCAAGCTTCACACCACAATAATTTGGATTTCCCTTGTCTTATACATGTGCGTCGTGGGTTCCTTCATCCAGACATTCTCATTACTCATCGGAATACAGTGACTGCATAAAACAAAATCATGATATATTTGTAATATCAGTGGACTTAAGTGTAGAGAATGCATCGATCGGAAGACTATGACTTTGTCCATTCTGTTCAAACGAGATAGAAGATGAATGCGTCACTTTTCTATATTTTTCTACACATTGTTCACGATACGATAGCGCACAAACTGTTTAACTTTATTTCTACCTTCCTATCAGAATTTTACCTAACGAAAGTCGGTACATAAATCTATATCACTGTAATCACCATGATGGGGCGACAACCTCTGCGGCTGCTCATGTTGAAGCCCTTCTCGTAGAATGTGCTGAGAAGATCGAAGTATCGATGCCTTCTGCTCCCATCACTGATTTTTCTACTGGGTGTTGATCGTCATCCTCTGGTGCAGCATGACGTACTCCCTCTGGTGGACTTATGGTGTGAGAAGTCCTTTCAAGGTTTTGGGTGGCTCTTTCTCCAGCTCCTCATTCCGGAAGGCTATCACCTCCTCGCCAACCAACCCGAGCAACATAAAAACACAGCTTCTGTGATATCTGAGGCTAACGTGGATATGTGGGTCAGTTCGAATTGACGAAGTATGCCAGTCTGTGTACCTGAAGGATGTATTTTCCTCCAATCAGGGGCCGAGCAACATAACTGTCATATCCGTCTGTGTCGATATAGCATGTCCAGATTGTTCATATCTGCACTCCTTCATTGTAGCATGAATAATGCTAACAAAGCCTAAGATTTATGCACCTGACTTCTAAGTGTACTTGCCAGCTTTTCCCTCTCGTATAGGTCCTGTACTGTGCTGCAGGCTTCTGCCGTTTCATCATCACCATGCAGCACCGCTGCTGTACGTGTGTACGCAAGCCACGCAATATAAATCTCCTCCTCCATGAGTTTAAGCAGCTTGAGGTATATGCCTAGGCTGAAGTGTAGACCAGATATCACTTTGACCATCTGATGGCAATTTACAATCTATAGTCATATAATGTTCATTAAGTGATTTACCAATTGCATACTAGCTACCCACCTTTGTGTCTCCAATTCTTCCTCTTCTCACAGCCAGGCGTCTACCTGTCGTCTCTGCAGAGCGTCGTCTTGTTGTGTACGCTGCTCGTCTTGTGTACGCTGCCCGTCTTCTTGTTGTGTACGCTGCCCGTCTTCTTGTTGTGTACGCTGCTCGTCGTCTTGTTGTGTACGCTGCTCGTCGTCTTGTTGTGTACGCTGCCCGTCGTCTTGTTGTGTACGCTGCTCGTCGTCTTGTTGTGTACGCTGCTCGTCTTGTGTACGCTGCCCGTCTTCTTGTTGTGTACGCTGCTCGTCGTCTTGTTGTGTACGCTGCTCGTCGTCTTGTTGTGTACGCTGCCCGTCGTCTTGTTGTGTACGCTGCCCGTCGTCTTGTTGTGTACGCTGCGCGTCGTCTTGTTGTGTACGCTGCGCGTCGTCTTGTTGTGTACGCGTTTTTTGCGACAATTATTGTGGCGTGGCGGAGAGGATCTCGTGTCTGTCTCCCTGCGATACGTCGGGCGCTTCTTAGGCTTAGATGTCGTTCCAAAGATCTCCCAGGTGTTTGTCGACACGCTTCGTTAACGGGGGCTCGTCCTGCAAGTCTCGGACTATAGGGGCTTCGGCGTCGCTTGCCTGACCTGGTGATGTCTCAAATATGTCCACATGATGTGGTACCTTAAAATAAGTGAGTGGCTTGTGCCACTGGTACTTAATTGTGGTATTTTTAGTTTTGGGAACTCCCTCTTCCATATTTCCATGAATCTAGTCTCTTTCAGTGCATCCTTGTCCTCCCAGTGGTCTTCTCTATATATTTCGAAGATGTCTGCTTTTGTGGCGCATTGCGGGAGGTGGACATTCTCGCTGCATGGCGTCCCCGAATCTTTTGGCGTAGCTCTCGAGCCAGCCTTTTGCCATCAGGTACTTTTTGGAGTGGTACACCATTCCTGTTCGGACACTTTCTCTTCTCTAGCCTCGTACTTCTTTTTGATCTGATAGAATCTAAAGAAATAATAAATGATAAGAAGACATGACAAGAGACTGCAGTGGACATGGGTGACGAACCCCTTGTAACGTTCTGGATACATTGTCTTGGCGATATAGTACAATACCCCTTAGTATTTACGAGTATTGAGTGTTATATCCATCACAGAAAACATGTTTAACGAGGTTTCCTGTATATCTGAGTTCTAAAAGCCAGTATTTACCTGGATTAACCAGACTAACTCGTGAGTTAAGAAGACGACAATTAAACAAAATGCCACCCACCTCTATGTCTGCCAGGTACCCTTCCAGCCAAGCTGGATTGTGCCCCTCATCGTCAAAAAGACGGTAAGGGCAAAGGCTGAAATGTGAAAGATCTTCGAATGGACTGCTGCCGGGCACGTCCCAGATGGCGTCTTAGTTGGTGGGACTTTTGGCATGGTTGTGACGGGCGAGGTAGATTGAGTGGCCCTCCTATCTGTTGTCACAGTGAAGGCAGCTGTGCGTGTTTTCTTTCGCAATACAATAGTGTAACAATTGGTCTAAGTATAACACTAGAGTTCCCCGATGCCATACCTTGGCCAAATGCTGTTAATCTTTATGACTGGCAAATCATAGATTATTGCCATTATTGTGCAAATAGGATCCACATTTTCAAGAATTATATCAGTTTATGACATTCCCAACCGAAAACGAGTGTAATACTTAAGGGTTAATGACCCGCCCGAGGTGAATATGGTGTGATAAAGCCTTGTCAGTTGCTATAACCACCGAATAAAGTCACCAAGTGAGCGCAGCGAACCGGGGTTTATAGTCTGACCAGGACAACACAGGACAGAAGACAGTGGAGAGCGGTGGAGGCCCGCATCGTCGACAGATGACTACAGCGGCGAAGATGATGATGATAACGGCATCAGGCAGCTTTTCCCTGGCTAAAAAAACAACTGTCATTTAAGGCACGTAAAGCGGTGTACAGCTTAAAATCTCTTACCCGTTCCTGTATCCCTAAAGTGTCTACTGAGAATATTTGATATTTATGGTATATATGAAGCCAATGATTCTGCGAAATTTGGGGCAAAGAAGCCATAAATGACAATTCACCAGTTGAAATTACTCACCTTCGTTACTTTAAGAATATATTAGGGGTTTTTAGAAATAGTAGTAATTTAGCATCTAGGGCTGAATTGGGCAGACTGCTATTAGATATAGATATTTCACTACGTATTACATAAATTTCATATTTGCTCCGACTTGTACTAGATGGATTGTAATAGACATCCGTTGCAAGCCGATGCTCTTCTGTTTCAACAAAATGCGCATTGTCAGAGAAGAACCTTGCTACAACGTTTGGAAGAAATATTAGATTCTAGTGGATATTCTTATTTGTTCTATTCATGTAACTCTACTTGTGACATCAAAACTGTATGCACCATGTTAAGGTTAAGGATTTCTGATATGTATAAACAAACTATTTCCCACAAGTTAAATATTGATTCTGGTAAGCTAAGGTTCTGCAAAAAATTAAAACAACATATTCTATGGAAGAATACCTGGACTTTCACAATCGCTCTGCAATAAGTAAATTACGAATGTGCACACCCTCTCGAAATTGAGAGAGGGCGGTACAAGAAGCTCCAAGTGTATGAACGAATGTACGTTGAACATTGTACATTGTACGTTGAATACGGTGGAAGACGAAACGCATTTTATCTCAAATTGTACCCTCTATAGCAATGAGCTAAATGGACTCTTTGACTTAGCCTACAAATTCTACCCAAACTTTCACACATACAAATGAAAACTACCCTCCTCTTAACATCCGAAAACCCACAAATTACAGAAAAAGTGGAATCCTTTGTCTTCCTCTGTCTTCAAAAAAGAAGCCAAGCCCAGTAGTTTTTACTAGTAGTTTCTTAGTAGTTATCAGTACTTCTATTACTAATTGTATGTTTTTATACCATATGTTTCTTCTGTTCCTGCAATTAGCCCTCGGGCAAGAATTTGCAATAAAACAATTATTATTGATTCAATCACGCAATTTTCCTGGGTTACAAATACAAACAGTTGTAGTAAAATGCAAAAAAAATTCTCTCTTTAGATGCGTCGACGAATTAAGGTTATACAGCCAGGTAATGAGGTACACAAGAAAATAGTTTCTGAAGGAACTAGACATATTTTGAAAACTTTCAGGGTTCAGACGTTTCAAGTAGGATCCACTACTTTTCGTTAGTGAGTGTCTCTTCGGAGGCCATTGAAAAGTTCCCCAACCGAAGCTTCCCTGATTTCTCAGAACTTTCCACTACAGCCAGAATTTATCAGGTGCACGTACTGAGGTTGGCTTATGTATGACGTCAGACATGCCCTGTCGGACGTTGACCGGACAGGTAACTTTGAATGAACCTCCTGCCTTATTTTGTCATAATGTAGACTTCACCTGCTACGCCAGAGAGTTCAGCTAAATTTTTGACCGGACAAAAACTTTGAGTAACCATAGTAAAAGGGGGTGCCGGCAAGACTATCGTGTTTATAGACAGACCATTGGATAGACCGGTGATCGTTGGAATATGTACACGTCAAGTAAAGTAAAATCCTACAAATATTGTCATTCCACCTCGAAGTACACAAGCTTTAAAAAGTAGTAAAAATCCATGGAAAGAGAATAATTCCCATGCATCCGAAAATCTTTACAAGTTGAAGGTCTCCAGCATCGGGCTTAAACTCTGTCCAGACTGCCGACAGTCTTCTGATGTTTGCGGTCTAAAGTCCACAAGTTATTTTTGCCGTTCGGTGCAAACAAGTGGACCAACCTACCTGGATGTTTATCGCCGATTTGATTGACGTTTGATTGTAACGGCAGTTTCCTCACCATGGTAACGGCGTCATGTTATATAGCCGGGTCCTGACGCTGTGGGCAGTTCGGCGGGGCTTCGGCCCGGGCCGGCGGACGGAACAGGGACGGGCGGGACGCGCTTTCTCATGGACTTAGTTTAGTGTTACCTGGGGTACAACTACACATAGGGACGCCTGTTGGGGACACTCTTGCCCCCCAGCCCTACTTTGTGTGGGAAAGCGCTTTCTACCAGACTTATTATGGTATTGTCTGGGTTAGAGACTAGAGGAATCGCGCGACCAGCCCTCCGGCTCTACTTTGTGTTGTAACTGTCGTGGACTTATTTTGCTTGTCTGTGTAAGTTTCAAGCGGGTTTCCGCAGACATTGGATTTCCGTATTGGACAGTGACCAGGACTCTTGCCTCTGTAGATCAAAACAAAAGACTTAACCGTCACCCGTACATATCGTCGTTGAATGGACGATTCTCGACACCACCTTGATGAGGCATTTTACCACGGAACTGAAAACTTTGTGAGGTTTTCTCAAAGTTTTCAAGCCTTCTGACTCTTGTACATAAAACGTGAGTACATGCTCTGTTTACATCTATAGTATTGTATTGTGTACTGGGTAATGTACCATACATTTTTAGGATGTACAGAAACGCGACATGAAAGAGAGTCAAGTAAAAAATGTAGACCAATGCATTCATTACTTTGTCACCGCAAAGTCGCAATTTGAAATGTGAGCCTTAGATAAAACATAAGTTTTTTTTTTAATTGCTAGTGAAGGCTTCATGTACAGTACATTACGAATGGCCAAAAGTGCAAACTCCGTAGCCTCTACGAAGTCTCTCATCCCCACTACGTTGAGCACAGTAATTACGTTGGTTTGCGTGATGGTCTAAGGAGACTTTGTAGAGGGTATGCAGAGAATACATACCATACTGTAGGTATGGCTCTTACAGTATACTCCTTCGCACATTTGACATGGCAGTGTCGACGTCATTGTCACATGGCACAGCCGCATGCTTTTGTTCAACATCATTCTTATGACGTCAATCTATCAGATAGTTGCTATGGGGGAAGTTATCGTTGCTATTAAACTGCCTAAGCTGACTTGTTGGTTAGGCAACAAGTAAGTGTTGTTCGGCTTGTACGTGCTCTTCTTACATCTAGTATTGTATTGTGTACTAAGTAGCAAGTTGTCATAAAATTGTCACTGTTCCGTAACAGTGCAGCAATTGACCTTTCCTGATCGAACACGTCGACCCCCCCCCCCCCCGTCCTATTTCGAACACCTTGGTCAAAATTAGCGCGGGGAATCTATGAGTTGATGTCTGCTTGATAAATACTCCATAATGTTTTACCGGTGAAATTGAATTTGTGACTTCGGTGGCAATTTCAAGTTAACCAAAGACGTTTTGTCATTCTTGTATTTGTTTATGAAGCTCTCATTATTGTTTATTACAAGGCCCTTTAGAAGTTGCGCACTTCCCCGTGAGCACCCGAGCTGTTTTCTTCCAGTTTGGCTTTTTTTCTGGGCTTGTTTGTAGCCGCGATGCATGCAGCAAATGCCGTGGAAAACCTGTCACAGATAAACATACTCTGCGTGACACATGCGTGAGTCAGCAACTGGGCACTCTTGTCTGACCACCATGTGATGTTATGCGGCGCATCCCGCGTCCGCATTGAGCGAAAACATTTTGCTCTCATTAAACTAACCTTGTCCCCTCCTCAAATAAGTTTTACTCTGTGGATGTGTACTTCAACGAAGATAGCGTGACCCTTTTTTGGGGCTACTGAGAGAGTTTTTCGCTGCCGAAAACTCGACCCTATAAACGGACATTCTGGTGGCGGTGGCCTGCGCGGTCCTTCCCGCTCTGATTTTGACCGAGGTGTTCGAAATAGAACAGGGGGCGGGGCTTACGGTGTTCGACCGGAAAGATCCATTACTTTGTCAAAGCAAAGTCATTGTTTGGTCAACTTGGCATCTACATCTAAGGCTTGAGTATTTTTGTGTTGGTATTCTTTAGTTTAGTAGGATGAATAAAGGAGAAGAAGTCTGGTACCGGTGACCAGACCTAATTAGCTGCCGTTTCTGGTGACTGCATTATGTGACAAACGTTTACCGATCGCATCGATCCTCACGTGGCGCAGCCGCGTGTGTTTGTCCAACACCATTCTCATGACGCCAATGTGCCAGATAGTTGCTATGGGGGGAGGTTAGCCTAGCTCAGTGTCTTCAAGAACATCTTCTGAGAGATTTGCTTGCGATGTTAGAGTTTTGAAGTACACGGGGTGTTAGGGCAATGTTTGCAAACAGGTCTGTCCACCTGGTGGTTTTATCAGCTTTTGCGTGATGGCTTTGCAAACAGCACACTAGCTGCCTTGTAAATGTGATCCTAATTGGATACTATGCTATTAATTGGACACTGTCCTAGCGGCTGCCTTGACGGTGTGACACTGTCTTGTAGCCACATCTGCTTGGAGGTTATGTAAACATCAGCTTTACCCACCGTGGCAAGAAAATTGAATGAGAATATGGTTATATATAGTCCTGTTTAATACCCAAGGCATGTTCAATATAACAGTTACTCAAGGAACTGGATAAATTTTAAAAGGCTAAAAGCTGTATTTCTGAGAGTCATGATGTTTGATGTTTAAAGTCCACAAGTTGTTTGGGCAATGTTTGCCAACAGGTCAGCTCACCTGGGGGTTTTATGTTTTGAGTGATGGGTCTGCAAACAGCAGTCTCCAAGCAGAAGTTTGGTCTTCGGTATATTTTTTGCGGCTTTTAATATGGTTTTTATTTGGCGTCCTTTATTGCTATTCATTTTCGAGCCACTACTTCGGGTAGTATACTGGATACTGTCTTGCCGATTTGATACTGCCCTTCTCTTCTATTTGGATACTGTCTTGCTAATTGGGTACTGTGAATTGTGATTTGATCACGTGGTTCAACTTTGAACAGAGCGGGCTTTACAGCCATGACCCTTTAATCTGTCTGGACAAAGTGCAGGTCATCGTTCCTGAAGCGCGCGTTTGTTTTTACTCTTTACCGGGAAAAATGCAGTCACATGGAGAGTGACGTTTACCTGGTGTGTTACCGTTTTTACCGCGTTTGTTTTACCCATACCGTTTATACCCACAGTCACATAGTCTGTCGTTTCGTTGGTATCTTGGGTCTTTTTACTAGATTAAGTTCAAGTCAATCATTCAGTTTCGCTGGCCATGTGTTAACGTTTAATTACCGCGTATGTTTTTATCCAATCGGAAACTGTAGCCACATAGAGACTGGCGGTTGTTACAAATGACTGAAATGAGCCTTTTTACTAGTTCACGTCAACCCCATCTAGTTCATGGGACTTATGCAACAGCTGCTTGTCCATCTGGAATTCCATTGTTGCCAGTTAAAGCTATTGTCATGGCAGCTAGGTGGTTACGTGTTAAATGGTGTCTAATAAATACAAGACACAACAAAGGACAAGAAACAGTGGATTTGACTTCTATATCTATCTGACGGATATGTGCATCAGTCAAATAGAGCTAGAAATGCTCCGTGCCTTCGATATGTGTTTTAGTTGGTAGTAAGATTTTAACATTGTCATCAAAAGACACCATGCAACAATAAGTGGGTCTGTGTGACGAAACGACAGAGTGCTAAACTCGGAACCAAGAGGTCCGGATTTGAGTTCCGACATGCTACCTTGTGCCCTTGGGAAAGGCACTTTACACGACTTTCCTTACTTCGCTCTGGTGGAAATGAGTATTGTATTGTCCACTGTGTTGATGGCGGCATTAATATAAGTTGAAAAATATTAGTTCCTACCCCACAAAAAATATCGAGGGTGGGCTCCGAAAGACATCAGTGATCCTGTGGCAATTCAGTTCTACATTGAATTTGTTAAACTGTACTTGGATCACTTTTAAATATACTAAATCCAAAAAGAAAAGAGAAATCTTACCTACCAACCCTGAAATGGGAAACAGTATGTTTCTGAGACCTTATGCAACGGTTGCTTGCCCTTTAGGTCTTTGTTGGTGTCGGTGAAATCTTTTGCTATGGCAAACCAGTGATTGACAGAGGGGAGACTGTTAAAATCGTGTCTAATTAATGAAAGTGAAATGTATTAAAACTGTCACGGCCGCCACATAGGTCTTGATTATGCTAATCGTTTAAGTGGGTTGAACCCTCTAATGAGACGCCAAAACAAGAACTAACATATTAAAAGGGATGTGGTAGATGAAACTATATCAGACATCAGATAGCTATAATTGTATTACAAGTATTTGTTGTTGTTTTTTTCATTACAGACCTCCCCCCTTCGACACTTCTAATCACCATGGCTACGCAATCAAGCCTGCGACAGAAGTTGAAATATGAAGAGTGGGAGATTAATGGAAAACGAATAACTCTAGTTACATTACACTTGTTTGTATATCCAAGGCAGCTGCCTGACGACCTTTATGGTTTAAGAGAGTTGGAAGCTCTGAGTCTGAAAACAGTGACAAAAGAGGAAATAAACCTCCCCAATGAGCTGGCAAAACTCACCAACCTGAAAGTCCTGAGCTTATTTAACTGTGGCCTAACCACAGTTCCGGCTGCCGTGATGAAACTTCCAATGTTAGAAAAGCTGATCCTCAGTAGAAACATGAACATCACCCTGCGGGGTGAGATTTCCAGACTCATCAACCTCACTGTCCTGGACTTAAAATTCTGTAACCTGGACACACTACCGCCTGTAGTGCTGAAACTACCAAACCTACAGGTGCTGGACCTAAGAGATAATGTGCAGATCTTCCTACCATATGACTTGTATAGGTTGAACAACTTGAAAGTTTTGAGACTAGGGGGTTGTAACCTAGACAGATTTCCACCGGCAGTACTGAAGCTCCTCCAGTTGGAGGAACTGGACCTCAGTAACAACAGGATCATCACTTTGCCGGATGGGCTGGCAGGACTCATTAACATCCGGGTACTAAAGCTATGGTTAACAGGCCTAGACACACTCCCACCTCAAGTGGGGAAACTGACACTGTTAGAATGGCTGGACCTGAGCGCTAACCAACTACAGACGTTACCCGAGGAAATCGGACAGCTCACTAGCGTTAAACACTTGAATTTGTCCAAGTGCAAGCTGCTCACACTCCCACTTGAAGTGGGTAGACTGACACGGTTAGAACAGCTGTACCTGCGCCATAACCAACTACAGACGTTACCCGCAGAGGTTGCGCAGCTCAGTAGCTTACGTGGCCTTCACGTTAAGGGAAATCCACTAATAAAACCACCAGCTGAAATTTGCAAACAAGGGATCACTGCTATCAGACAGTACTTTGATGAACTTAAACGCTCGAAAGAAAATATAATCTCTCATTTGAAAATTGTCTTCTTGGGAGAGAAAATGGCGGGAAAAACAAGCCTGGTACGAACGCTAGACATTGGCAAGTCCACCCTAACAGAAGTAGAGGACCGCACACACTGTGTAGAGATAACTCAGTGGGCACCTGATGACAACATCACGTTTGAAGTGTACGACTTTGGTGGCCATGACGTGTATTATCTCACTCACCAGTTCTTTCTGACTCCAGATGCCCTTTATCTGTTATTAGTGAACCTTCAGACATACAGCTGCAGTGAAGAGAGGTACACAGAAGCCGTGGGGTTCTGGTTGGACACACTGAATGCCCGCGTGCCGGGGGCGGTGGTTTCTATAGTAGGGAGCAAGAAGGACCTTTGTCGACATGATGAAGTAATAAGAAAGACAAACGACATTCAAAGTAGGATCAACATGCAAAAGAAGATGTGGCTAAAACAACTAAAGCAAGAAATCAAACGACTGGAGACTAAGCTAAAGACCCAAGAGAAAGGTCACTCCTCGTTGATAGCTCAACAACTTGCATATACAAATCGCCTGCTGGAGCAAAGGCTGCGTTTCGTTGGCGATGTACTGTGTGTGTCTGTAAAGCCCAAGTCGCCGATTCGCAGCCTTTTGTCTTCTAAATGTCCATCTTGGGTTAACCTGCAGACTCTTCTGTTGGAAAATGTTAATAACAAGTCATTGTTTCCAACACTACGAAGAGTCTTGCCAGGAACATGGGTGTTGTTCGAGCAGCTGTTGAAAAGATGGAGGGAAACGCCAGAACAGGTTAAGGAGAGTGACAGCTCTGACAAAACGGGCTCTTCTAAGCAAACGCAATCGTATTCACTGGCAAGATACTGGCTGACATTGGGTGAATGTGAAGGCATTGGACGGGACGCAGAACTCTCACCAGAAAGACTAGACCCAGTCCTGTCTTACCTGCAGCAGGTGGGAACCATCCTCAGGTACACGGACATACCGGAACTCAAGGACTATGTCTTCCATGATCCTCCCGTCGTCGTAGAACTCTTCAAAGATCTGTATCATCACGATACCAAAGCCCTTTTCTCAACACCAAGAATACGAAATAAATATACTCGCGAACAACGGCGTAATTTGGAAGAGGATTTGTGCGACCGTGGACTGATCCAGAAGAAGGTGATGACGTGTATGCTACCACCAAACATCGATCCTGACATTGTTACAGCTCTGATGCAGCATTTTGGCCTATGCTTTGAGTTAAAAGGCAACGACAAACAAGACCTTTCTAAACAAATATTGCACTACAAAATACCTTGGTACCTACACAAACAAATGCCAGAGAAGTTGAAGAGTGTCTGGCCGGATGACGTACCAGAAGATCAGGAACAGCTGCAGCTGATGTGCAACATCACAGGATTCTGTCCCCGGGGACTGTTTCAGAGGTTCAGCGTTGGGATCCATCGATTAGTCAAGGACAGGGTAGACTGGAAAGATGGAGTCATGGCCTACAGGCAGGACTACCCGATACTGATGCGTTCCAAACCTGTAACAGACGACACTTACATCGCCATGGCAACCAGAGGCAGGCTTGCCCAGGCAGATGAGATGTGGGGCGTTGTCCACCCACTGCTGGAGGTGCTGGTCCAGCTGCTGCAGGAGTGGCCAGGTGTGCTGTACTCCCTCCACGTCACCTGTGCGCACTGCATCAAGGCAGGACTGGGCAGGCCGTACCAGCACGAACTGAGGGACCGGACTGCAGAGGACGGCCGTGACGTCAGGTGTCCCAGGATCAAAAATACAGCATCAACGTCAGCAAACCTTGTGTATAGACCAAGCAGATTATCTGGTATGCATCATCTTTGTACCCTGCTTGGTTATTGTCATTTCTGAAACGATGCCAAAATCTAAGCTTTATCATGGTATTTAAGGAGAACCAATATGCTCCTAATACTTTAAGAGCTGTAAGGACGCTTTGCTATTCATTGATCATTACTATTCCGTTTCTCTTTAACAATAGGAAAGCAGTACCCTGCAGAAGCTCAGAGCCAACAGGATGTTGCCGGACGCTCTCAAGCTGAGGAAGAAGGTATGTCTCCATAGTTCCGATTTCCTGGTCATCACTATACATTGTGTAGGTTTTATTTACTTTTATTACCTCACGTAATCTACAGTATCTAACTGTACTGTACAGTTCAAAATATTAGCCATGATATCTTTCTTTGTTAGTTTTGATGTCTGTGATTTTTGTAACTTATTAAAACCTATTACATTTTCTTGATTTATTGCAGATATCAGCAGGTACTTCCATTACATCAAGGAAAACGTGACTGCCGAGTGGAAGGACCTGGCTTACCAGCTGGGATTCAGTCGGCCAGACATAGACAACATTGACGAGAGAAACACGGACTACAAGCGGCGCTGCCGGGACACGTTGGAGGAATGGAAAGAGCGGGAAGGGGATGCCGCCACCATAACTGTGCTGATGGACGCTCTGAGGGAACTGGAGCTGATGAGTGTCGTGGATGGGCTGGAGAGCAAGTATCCAGGTAGGGGAGGCACCGTGTGTTTACCCCCAAAATCATTTTCTTCCAACGAAAGCTCATCTGTGTTGCTAGAATCCATAGCTATAGAGTTTAAGCTTTGTCCCAACACAAGAAGGAGACTTACCACTGTTGATGCATTTCTGACGTCATGACGTTTCCGACTGACGGAGTCAGTGAGTGCATCACACATCTGATGAAAGTTGACGAAATCGACCAAAATGTTATGGTGAGTCTCCTTCTTGTGATGGACAAAGCTTGAAATGATTATCGTCTTGTTTCAAATCTTGTGGAATCCACCTTGAACATCTAGCTAGGGTTGAACCGACCAGACATTGTTTTTCCACGATCAAGATAATGATCATTCTGGCATACTCGTGCTCACCTGAACGAAAAGAGGAAAGTCGTGTACAGTGCCTTTCCCAATGGCACAAGGCTGGTGACTTGGCAGGATTCGAACCCGAGACCTTTTGATACTGAGGCGAATGCTCTGTATTTACGCCACACAACCCCAAACTGGCATTGCCACCATTTACGAGAGAAACAGGGACTACAAGTCTAAGCGCCTGGAAATGTTAGGAGAGTGGCAGAAACGCAAGGAGAACCCACCATCCCAGATGGTCTCCCCATCTGCTATCCGTCTCATGGTATATATACTATAGATAAAATACTTCAATTTTCTTACAGAGTCTCAGTTGTCAACACAAAGGTCTGAGTGATTAGGCAAACATCAAACACAACGAGATTTCACCCTAAAAGTAATGAAAGTGCTACATAGTTCTTACGTGTTTTTTAAATCTTTACACAGAACTGGCTGGGGCGACAGCTGGTCCGACTGGTCCACAGTAAAACTGCTCGTGTGTGCGCCGAGCCACGGCAAGCATACTGCAATTTCTAAGTGAGTATCTAATAGTTAATTGAATCTGGTTATGCCTTTAACTACAATTATAAAGCAAAGCATGTTTATTTTGATTGGGCACATTATTGATTGGACATAATAAAAATGAAAAATGACATTGGCCACGTTGAGGACAAATTACTGAAATCAGATTATCGGATAAGAACTTCTTTTTTTACTTGTTGTATGTATAGTTTGTGTTTTTGTGTGTGTTTGTTCAACTGTTTTCAATGGATGACATATCCCAAATGAAGACACTCAAAAAGCCCCACTCTATTGACAAATTACCCAAACTAACTATGCCATTATTCTACTCCTTCCCCAGGTCAAGTCAATGTTGACTGGTCCACAGTGAGACTGCTCGCCTGTACAGGTCATCTGTATGCCCAGATACGGCAAACACAGTTCAATTTCCATGTGAGTATCTCATACTTTTGAGAGGCCTGCCTTGAATCTACTTTTATCTGTTCATGGCATTAGCAAGTCTGTATCTGCATCGGTATAGCTTGTATAACCGTCCTTCGGCGTAACACACTACCTTCGCAGGCCCGCAGCACGACGGCAGCTGGCTATATCACACCGAACGACCTGTTACACCTAATCTTATGACATTTAATTGCAGGAGTTGTATCAATGGTTTATTTCAATAACATTAATGTCACAAAACATTGCAGACAAAACGGCTGAATTGCGTCAGGACAATTGCAATAATTCGAATAGACGTGATTAAAACATATTTGCATATAATAAACGGATTTAAAATGTTACGTACAGAATTAAAAACATTGTCTGTTACTGCGACAATTAAAAATCATTTATGTAATATAGACACCTTGGTATCATTGGAAAGCTCATCCGGCCAGAAGATCAAAACTGCAAACCAAAAGTATTTTCTCTGTGTTTACAACAGTCCCGACAACATTGACTACACCGACTACCACTACAAAAGCCCGCTTCACTTTTCTGACTTTCCATTTACCGTTAGCGTTCTTTGCTCAAATGCGCGGGGCAGGGTGTGCCACGTCCTAGCGCTTTTGTCTCTGTCAGTGTTCTACGCCGGAAGGAAAGAGTTGCAATTGGTAGTCCCAGATGTGAGCAGGCAGCGGCGTATGAAGTATATTCAGCACCAAGGATAACACGTAGAGCTCTGCGTTGGACTTTCTCAGTTCTGTTACTCAGAGTGTTGGGTAGTCCGGAGTGCCAAACCGGAGCGGCGTATTCGAGGATAGGGCGGATGTAGGAAGTATACACCGTCAGGAGATGTACACCGTCAGTGGCGAGGTGAAAGTGCTTTAGTTTCATGAGGAAGTACAAGCGCTGGTTTACTTTAGTACATACTGAGTCCATGTGCGAGTTCCATTTGTTAAACCCTACCTAGACCGGGCTTTTTTTGGCATGGGGGGACCGTAAGGGGGGGCTCTTTTGACCCCCCCCCCCTCAAAACTCGCGAACGGTATGTCGTATGACCACCAAATTTTCAGAGGATGGTGTACTAGTAAAACGTATCATATCTACAATTTTTATGTCATTATGACGTAATATGGCGTCATTATGACGTCATTAATGTGATTTTATTGGCCAAAACCGTCTAGATAGGTTTTTCCCTAAAAACTAAATGGTATTCAACATAACTGTACCAAAAGTGTTTATGACAGAATATTAGGGTGAACTAAGTCTTATGTTACCCATAGCAACACCGGTGACGTCATAAAATGACGTCATGCATATTTAAGATATCCGCCATCTTGGATCATCAATCTTAAATTTTCAAAAATATTTTTTTTTCCATGATAAAGCCAAAAATACATTTTAAACATACTAAAGACCTTCATTTAAACCTTTTTTGGAAAAAGAAATGGAAGTATTGACGAAATTTTAATGAAAATGACCCGTATATACCTGTTCTAATGATATGGTCCGCCATCGTGGATTTTGACCAATGACGTCATCAAATTAGCATAAATTATGCATATTTAATGATAAAATTTACATAAAATTATATGGGATGTTATTGATATTAGAAACCATGAGTAACTTGACATAAACTTCTATTGTTGAAACAAAAGTACTAAATTTAGCAAAAAATGCGTCAGAAACCCATAGCCATGGCAACACAAAAAATTATTATTTTATTCCAATGATTGTTGCCAACAATATTCTAGGAAAAGTCAGCAAGTTTGGCTATTCTAGCCCTAGCCGTTCAGACGCTAGGTGACATCAAAGTTGGCGTGGGCACTTTTAGCCCCCCCCCCGGGTCTAGGTAGGGTTAAATATTTCTAGCAAAGATGCCCCAACTGTGCTTGGTGACAACGAGTTCCACTTTACGATACTTCCTGGTAGATGAGCGACGCAGAGTCCGACTTTGTCTCTTGGCTACCCTCACGCCAGGTTGATGTACATGGCAGAAACCTCAGAAATGCGCACAACATAAGCCAGTTTAGGCGCAGAACGTCCCGTTTCTTAAACACTACTCTGCCGTACTGTGTTAATAATGTATTGAACGATGAAAAATGATTCACGTCATTAGGTTTATGTATGTATACAACCCTTCATATTATAACTTTAGATTATTTCTGTACTTTTAACTTGAAGGAATCATTGAAACTGTTTTTATATTGTATTTTTAACGTGTGGTAATTTTACTGTAAACTTGGTATGCAACAAATAGGTTTTTATCAAATGTAATGGATTTTTATGAAATAACTGTAACTATCTGCTGTATCTCTCTTTCTCTCTCTAACTGTGACACTTTTCTATCCCTTCCGTAGATCAACTAAAAGTGCTAAGCATCCTCAACCAAGACGTCAAGCTGACACCGGAAGGGACGCACACCATACGCAAGGGCTCTACTTCTTCCCTTAGGCTGCAGTTGACCATATTTCTTAGTTTGAGTAATGTGCTAGGCAGGAGGATACGATCTTAGCTTCCCATTTCTCAAAGGTAACTCAAGTCAAAGACGTAAATCTTTGAATAGACTATGCTAAAAAAATTCACAAGCACTGTGTACATACTAGCACGTCTGTTCTGGCAGATAAACATGCCCGACCATGTTACGTCAGATAGGGATTGACACATCGCGCGATTGTCTAGTTCCCTATGAGAGAGTCTTGTCTAAACGTTTGTAACATGTTGCAACATGTTGTAGCATGTTGCCATATTTTTGTAGCATGTTGCAGTGTTGTTACATACTTATTCAGCATTTAACCCTAAACAGTACACCTGGGGTCCGCGCGGACCCCAGCACTATATATTCTGTAATATCTTTCTTGTTTCTAAAGATTTTTTTCTGAAATTTTAGGTAATTGTTACCCACAAAGTTGTCTCTCAATACAGTGCAGAGAATTCCGTTTCTACCATTTATAAAAAAAATTATATCTGATTTTCTTCGGCTTTCGATCATACCCCAGCCGGCTTTCGATCATAATGGATACACTGGCGTTCTTATACATTACTTTACTTTCCGTTTTTATATTGTTTTTATGCACTCATCGTATGTCTACCAAGTTTTCAGAGAATGGTGTAGTAATAGAATTGAATTTTAATAACTTTGGTGTAATTCTGACGTCATATGACGTCAGAGCTAATAATATAGTCCGCCATATTGGATTTTGACCAATGACGTCATCAAATTAGCATATTCTATGCATATTAAATGATTTAACTTATATTTAATTATGTAAGATGTTATTAATGTTAGGAAAAAAAGTGTAATTTATTATAAGACTCAGAAAATTTTATGTTTAAACCAAAATTACTTCTATTTTTAAAAAAACTACCTGCTAGAAACCCGTTGCCATGGCAACACAAAAAAACATCAAGTTACTAGTATGAAACTAATATGGACTTTTTCCCAGAGACATTTTAGGAAATGCCTCCAAATTTGATACTTCTAGCGCAAGCCGTTTAGCCGCTATCTGAGATCAAAGTTTGGCCTCAAAAGCCCCTTCAGTCTGAAATGGGCTTAAAAATCGGGTATTTCTTCTTGTCTTCTTTTCTTCACCAAAAAATAGAAAAAGTTCAAAATGTATGATTTTTGTATGTTATGTGGACACAGAGGTTCCCACATCAGTTTGCAAAACAATTGAGCTGGTAGCATGTTGATAATTTCTAAAAATTAGCAAAAAACTGTTCTGGGGTCCGCGCGGACCCCAGGT